AGTCGGGTGATGAGGACAGCTGGAAGGATTCAAACCCATTCTGGCCGTGATGGTGCCATTTTTCTGGTGGAAGTATCCCCAGAAATGTTTCAGAAGCGGGAGGATGAGGAAGATAGCTTTTTACAGCTGGCATTAAGGGTATGGTGTTCCCCCAATAGAAGCATCAATCAGGTGCAATTCAATTTTGATGCTGTGTCAGATTAGTGTGAATGATTGTCATGCATTATGATATGACTGACGATAATCTCTCGAGGGAGGGTGTCCATGTTCCGGCTCCCTCCCCTGTCCCCCTTGCGGGTAAGGTTGGCATGTTAGCTCTGCATGTATAACATTTGTAAAGGAATATTATTCCATTGCATAACTTTCTTGATATGCTACTGTTGGGCTTCTCCATAATATGCTCCAGTCAAAAGCATCTTCCAGTCATGCCACAAAGCTTCTGTAGTACCAGTCGAACCAGCTGTTTTCTCCACAGTGCTCCCTCTCCATGATCGTCAACAAGGTCATCAGCTCCAGCTCCGACTACGTTGGGGTGGTGCTGTTTGGCACAGAGAAGAGCCGCAGTTCCAGCACCGACAACGTGTACGTGCTGCAGGAGATGACACTGCCCGGGGCGGGTCGGCCGTACTGGACCTCGAGCACGTGATCAAGGGTAAGGCGCTGGTGGCTGACGCTGGCTACAGGTGGGAGGAAGGGCCCTTGCCCCAGGATGTCCCATGCTTCCACATGGTTTCGGCGGTGACTATGGCACTAGGTGGTTTTTACTGTCATAGATAGGTTTGGAGTGGTTAGTGTGTACAACTGCCGGAAATTTTGACCACTATTCATCATTCCAAAGCTTGGGAGCTAGGGTGAGAAATGACAGATATGGTCAACAAAGTGAGGATGTTTTTGCATTCCTGCATTCAAATCTTGCATGCGATAGAATTGATCATGTGTGATAAAATGGTTGAATAATGGTTTGGTTGTACATGGGAGTTTTCAAAAGTTTGTGCATTACTAACATGGTCTTCGGGTATTTTGCTCTAACCTCCCAGTCAGGTAAGTTGACAATTCTTCTGATAAACCCGTGAAAATGTATTGCTTTGCGTGGTGTTGTGGGAACCATTTGGTGCCAATTGATTGCCGTGGTTTGTTTGATTAACATTGACATGGACTGAATCGCTCCTCTTTTCACCTGGAAGAAACTAGCAGACTCATATTGACACTGTTAGCCATACAATTTCTAATGACACTGACTATGTGTGCAAAATGGAAACGTACTCGGCTGGTACCAGGCTGGTGCGAGGCTGGTGCTACGTAAAGGTCGTAGTTTGATTTAAAGAAGTGCCGGATGCAACACATGGAAAGCTCTGGGCAGTATCATATTGCGGTAAGCTACTCACGTACATTTGTTACCATGATGAGGTGAATTAAGTTGTATTGCTTGTGTGTTCTTAGCATTGCTGCTATGCTAGCAGACCTTATTTGATCAGAAGCTTGTTCACTAACAGATGCGTTCTTCCTTGCAGGAGATATGGACGAGTTCCGCAGAGAGATAGGCATCAGCAGCAAATTCGCCCTCGAAGACGCCTTATTTCAATGCTTGTCAATGTTTACCAACACGGACAAGTGAGTACAATCACAGGCATTCGTGGGAAGGACTATTTAAATCAGTGATGGGCGGTTTGCTTCGCGCTATGGTGCAGTGCTTCCTCTTGCATTCCAAATGTATTTCATAACTGAGGTCTAGTTAGTACATCAGGGGATCGGTGTGCACCATGTTGTTCGCGCTGTTGACACCAGTTTAACATTCCACCTGGCATGCTCTCCTTGAGTACACAATACTGGATTTGGCGTTGTCACTGAGGCGCCGTGTACACCCACTCGCCGAAGCACGTACGTCTGGGCCCCATGATAACTCCCAGTCGCACCACAGCGCGCGGCCCACCCCCTGTGTTTGTGCGCTGCGCCCATCCCCGTCGCGCCAGTCGATCACGCATGGCGCCGCGCGCCCTCCAACGCCCTCTCACGGCCGCCGATCGCAGGACCCATAAGCTGCACTCGAAGCGCTTGCTGTTGTTCACGAGCCGCGACCGTCCCGTCGACGCCGACTCGGTGGACCTGCGGCGTCACGTCCACCAGAGGGTCAAGGATGCCCGCGACAACGATATCGCCGTCGATCTCTTCCCGCTCGGCAAGGCCTTCGACGTGGCCGCGTTCTACTCGGTGGGTGGTCGGGCGGCGCGGCGGCGGCGTGGTTTCACGCCCCGTGGCTGTGTGTTTCGGCAGTGCCCTCCGACGCCTGGAAGCGGCGGGTTTGACCCTCCTCGGTGGGGAGCGTTGGCACGCGGCGGGCGGCACGTCCGGGTCCTGGCGGTCCATGTGGGTGCTGCTGCTGCCCCCAGAACAGTCCCCCTGGCGCGTCTGTGTGCTGTGGACGGGTGGGGCCAGCGGAGAACAGTCCCCCGGGCGCGTCTGTGTGCTGTGGACGGGTGGGCCAGCGGAGAACAGTCCGCACGCTGGACATGCTCGCCGCTGGACAATCGACAGCTGTCGATATTCCAGGGACAAACACGGTCGTCCAGGCAAATGCTTTGTGCGTCAACGCGCACGAAGCCTTAGAGGTACGGCCGTAGCATCGGCTCCCACTGTTCGGTCCCGAGCATCGTGGTTTTGTTCCGGTCATGTGGCGTGCACTGGCATCCATTGCTTGATCTCGACTGTATAATGTTCGCACCCAGGTGTGTTTATAACTGACTGAGAGACGAGCTTAAAAGCGGGTCCCGGTGGCGGCGTTTCTAGGTCCGTAACTAGGTCTAGGTCCGGGAGGTGAACTGAGCAACTATGACTTGTCAACAGGAGGTGTTGTTCGATAACGCATCGGACGAGCGGCCGCCGACCGCCGACGTCTCGGACAAGCTGGAGGAGCTGCTGGCGCGCGTGCGACAGAAGTCCTACAAGAAGAGGGTGCTCGGCAAGATCCCGTTCGTGCTCGGGGAGGGGCTGAAGCTGGCCGTCGGCGTGTACAACCTCATCCGGTGAGAGCGCGGCGTGGGTCCGTGACGAGCCGCGGGGTGTCTGGCGTTCGGACGTGACCGTCGGGACCCAGGCATGCCTGGGAGAGGCGCGGCGTGGGTCCGTGACGAGCCGCGGGGTGTCTGGCGTTCGGACGTGGCCGTCGGGACCCAGGCATGCCTGGGAGAGCGCAGCGTGGGTCCGTGACGAGCCGCGGGGTGTCTGGCGTTCGTACGTGGCCGTCGGGACCCAGGCATGCCTGGGATGTTGACGTTCACCTGTTGCGATGCAGTGCCAACATGATGGTCGTGTACGGCAGGTATTTTCCCCGCCAGATTCGTACAAAAGCATTACGTCTGTTTCGTGTTTATTAGCGTCATTGCCACAATTACTGTCAGCTGGCAGCCGGCGTCGGTTCTCGGAAAGCGCACTGCATAGCTCATCTGTTCATCTCAACTGACCTGGTCGCGGACGTCACTCTCCATCCGCCGGCCGGCCGGCGCGACAGCTCCCATCCACTCCCTATTCCCACTGTCACCCGTGCGACCTGTAGTGCGCCTCGCTGCCAGCAGCCGGTCCCGCCGCTGCCGCCGCCACCGCCGCCTCCCCATGCCGATCTCCCGCCGGCGGCGCCGCGACCCACGACCTCGTCACCCTCTGTGCCGCCGCGACGGCCGCGCTTCGCCGCCTCCCGTGACCCGCCACGCTGCCGCTCGGCCGCAGGCCGGCCACCAGGCCGTCGTCCGTGCTGCTGGAGAAGAACACCAACCAGCGGGTGAGCTCGATCACGACGTACGTGGCCGGCGAGCGCACGCTGCACCGCTCGGAGATCAACCACTGCCAGAAGGTCGGCGACCGCCAGATCGCCTTCAGCAGTGTGCGTATACCCGGCCCGGCCGGGCAGCGGGACGACATGTACGGGTGCGGTACGGGTACGGGTACGGGTACGGGTACGGGTACGGGTACGGGTACGGGTGCGGATACAGGTACGGGCACGGGTGCGGATACAGGTGCGGTGATCCGGAAGATGGAGTGATCGGGGCTTTTGGCCGCTGGCACCTCGGCCGGTATGGGTGCTGCCGTGAGGGGGGCATGCTGAATTGATAGTTGCACGTAAGGGCTGAAGAGGGTGGCGGCCGGCCGTGACCGCGCGCCCTCTGTGTACGTGCGTGCAGGACGAGGTGCGCGAGCTGCGCGCCATCTGCGAGCCGGGCCTGGTACTGCTGGGCTTCCAGCCGGCCAGCCACCTGGACCCGCTGCAGCACGTGCAGCCGGCCAGCTTCATCTACCCGGAGGAGAACTGGATCAAAGGCAGGTGCTGAGACGCGACTCAGGGCGTCCGGCGCGCCTGCTCGGAGAGGCGGGTGTCCCGGCTGAACGCGTGCTTCTATTTGGCTTGGGGCACTCGTTTCGCTAGTTCGCTATTTAGATCACTAGTTTGCCTTCAGGGCTATGGGATTTCCCCGGCTCTCAGCCTTTGTGTATTTGTCACATGCCTGAAGTCCTTAATAACGTCAGTACGGGGCATGGGTCATTTCTTGACCATGACCGCCATGTAGCGCACTTCTGAGATCAATCCCTGATGTCACGAGCAGATAAGTATTCACATGCTGTCAGTGAAGTAATTGATCGCCGCAACATCACGTGGCATATGAAGCGCGTCCGTCAGCACCGATGCTGCACGGTCCGACTCTGCCCCTTCAGCTCTGCGGAAAGCCTTCAGCACTCCCCCGCCGGGTCACCATGCCCCGGCCGTCTGCCTCAGCAGTCAGCCTGGTCTAGTCCCGGGCCGTCTGCTCCCCCAGTAAGTGACCTAACCGCTGGTCCCTCGCCAGTCAACGTGTCTCCCGCGAGCAGGTGTCGCCAGTCCTCCGCCGCGTCCGAGCCCCCGTCTCTCCCCTCGCCAAGCCGACGCCGCGTGATCAGCTCCGCTGTAACCGGCAGGCAGCCGCCAGCTGTTCGCCGCTCTGCTGCGGCGCTGCTCGGAGCGCGCCCTGGTGGCCATGTGCCGTCTGGTGGCGCGCCGTAACGACACGCCGCACCTGGTGGCGCTGCAGCCGCAGCCAGAGGTGGTCAGCGACGGCGTGCAGACGGCGCCGCCCGGCTTCCACGTCATCTACCTGCCGTTCGCCGGTCAGTGGCGCCGCCGGCCGCCGCCGGGGCCGCGGCCCGAGCGTCCGGACGTGACCCGGGTGGGGGGTAGTGCAGGATCGCGCGGAGCGTGTCGGGTGTTAGTCGGGCGGCTCGCGGACCGGCAGCTGGCGCCGGCGGGTGAGGGACTGGGCGATAGGCAGACGGCGGTGGCTGCTGCGGGCGGGGACGAACGCTGCTAAGGATGAAGGGTATGGGATAGCCTGAGCTATGCTGAGGTTGCGGAGCAGATTATGTCGCCTCGCGTTGTAGAATAATACACATTGCGCGGTGGGTGCCGTGCCGGCGGTGGGTGCCGTGCCGGCGGAGGCAACAACTGTTTCAGTTTGGTTGTCAAGTGATCACTGTCTGCAGTGTTCTTTCCACTGTCCATGGGAGAGAAGTCAGATATGATGACAAATTGATATCTGACTGATGATCACAGACTAGGATCTCACTGATCCCATGGTATAGCATGTTGAGTTCGAGAAGGAGCGTGCGGCTGCAAAGGTATTGATGACGTCACAGATCCGATTTGTCAATTTTAGTAACTTACAGCTGCCTCAAATTTATCATATAAATAGTTTTGTGGGGTTCACAATGGTGGTGGTGGAGGGGAGAGGGTGCACAAGATGTGCACCCCAGAACAGCGAGCCTCGAGACAGTGAGCGCGAAGAGCACCGGGTCAGAAACGAAATGGCCCGGTGGATGACTTACGTAGCCCCGACTCAAAAAGAGCTCCATTTCTCCCCGGCAGAAGAACGTTAACGCTAGCAACAGCCTGCTTTTTGTCGTCGGCAGGCGAGATACAAAGTTATAATAGCCGAAGCTAAAACCGTCTGGCCTAATCAAATTAGGTTCATGAGGCACAGTTAAACAATTTTTTAGCTGCGTCAGCGACACCTTCTGTATCGTCACATAATCTGCCCACCGTACAGACTGTGCTCACAATGACTGAGTTGTTCCGTTCCATTGCGTGCGGTGTGCGGCGCGCAGCTGCTGACGTCACCGGCCTGTTGCAGACGACGTCCGCCAGCTGTCGCTGCCGGCGCCGCGGCGCGCCACGGACGAGCAGATCGAAGCCGCCCGCGCCATCGTCACCAAACTGCGCTTCAAGTACGCGCCCGAGAAGATCGAGAACCCCCAGCTGCAGAAGCACTGGATCAACATCGAGGCTTTGGCGCTGAACCGGCCTGATGTGGAGGAGTTCACTGATTACACCGGTGAGGGGCGGGCGAAGAGGGCACCGATTACACCGGTGAGGGGCGGGCGGGGAGGGCGGCGCCCGCTCGCCGGCCTGCGGAGACGGACAGGCTCGCGGTGCGTGACTCGGGACAGGCCTGGTGCGGTGAGGTCGGTCGGCGCAGTCACCGGCGGTAGAGGCCTCTCGTGCCGTTTGCGGTTGTGTACTCGCTCCCCGCGCGCTCTGCGCCGCCAGTGGTGTCGCGCAGAAGGTACCCGGATATCTCTGTGCACTTATATCAAGTCTCCGTATGAATGTGTAGGACGGATTCTGCTGATTTTTGCGGTGGTCAATGCAGGGCCGACAGCCGTCTTTAAGAATCTGTTCTTGCCATTGATACCGAAACCTTTCATCGCGCAGAACATAACCGGTTTCGAAACCCAGTCAAGGAAGTCATGAAACACGCACCAGCCCCAAACCATTCCTGGCCACTGCGTCGTGTGGACAGTGAACCCGACTCTAAGACCCAAACCTAGCATCATCTGACTTGGCCATCTGTCGCCGCGCGCGACAACCGTGGCGCACCGCGTCCTCGGCTTCATTGCCTCAGTGAACTGAAGAGTAGGTGCCGGCCATCCAGTCCGGTGACGACCAAACCGCGCCCTGTTTCAGCACCGGACGTGGAGCGGATCAGGAAGAACGCGGGGCCGCTGATTGAGAAGTTCCAGGAGCTCGTGTATCCGGAGGGGTACGACCCGCTGGCCAAGAGCAAGCCGCGGGCGCCCGCCGCCAAGCGGCCCAAGCTGGACCCCGACGCCGTGGACGTGCGCGCCCTGGCACTCGAAAAGAAGGTGAGGCCGTCGACCGCGGTCGCCGGCCCGACCCCCGCCCCACTTCCCTTCCCGGTATTCTTCTCTCCTACCGGCGGTGAAGCTTTCTCGTCAGCTTTTTGTTCGTGACAGAACTGCTGGGCCCTCGCTTTATGGTATGTTCTGTTATGAATGTTGTGCTGCAGTTCTTATGGGATTTCATTATACAAGAGGTTGCCGTAAGCACTAGCATAGCAGACTCGCACCAGTCTCGGCAGTGAGTCTCGCAGCCAGGTCCTGTTGGTCACGTGTCACACGGTCTACCGCTAAACATCGGCGTCTGCTTCATCGCAGGTCCTGTCATCCCCATTCGCAGCACCTTTGCTCGTCCGTAATGTACCGCGGATCACACCGCAACGCCTGTGGCCGTCCCCACCGCTGAGGGAGGCGTCCGGACCAGCCCTCGCCTAAGCCGCGCCTTCCGTCGCAGGTCCACACGACGACGATGCCCGTGCTGAAGGCGTTCCTCCAGGACGCTGGCGTGTCCGTCAGCGGTCTGAAGAAGGCCGACCTTGTCCAGGGCCGTGTACGAACAGCTGGAGCAGAAGCAGTAGCGGCCGGCGCACCCGTCAGCCGGCGGTGGGCCGGGACGGCGGGGCCACGGCGCCAGTACCCGCCGACATGGCGGCGGTTGAGCGCTCTCGACGTGCTGCGGCTCTTCTGCCGTGTCTTTTGCTGCTTGCTTTGTGATGATTATCGTTGAGTTTCTACTGATTTTTGTACGGACTAGACCAGAGTGGTCTGTACAGTTAAGTGTGTGATGTTTTTGTTGGATTGGCAGTGTTTGTGGCTACATTGGCGGTGTTCTACACGATGTCAAGACTTTCCATTGACTGTCTGGTGTGTGCGTGCGTGTGTGACTTGTGGATACCTTCAGCCACCCAGCGACCACGGGCGCTCGTGGACGGTTTTCCTGTTGTTACCGAGCATTATCGGACTTACAAGTGAAGTGCCTCAACTGCAACGATCTCTGACCCGCATAGTACAGAAAACGCACAATACATGCTTCGATAAACACTCGTTGCTGTTTGCACAGTCTGTTAAAATGTGCGATGTTCTTGGCCGTGTTATGGATTTGTTAGTGGGTTGTTGGCGTGAACAGTGTTGTTTCAGAAGAAGCCAGAATTGGTTCGCCAGAGTCGTGCAAACTTCTGCGCAGTCGCACAGGCGACAGTAGCCGATGGGAAATCGCCGAATGCGTCGTTGCTTGAAGAGTCAACAGATGGCGTTGGGTGTCAGCAAACATTTGCGAAGCGGGAACAGCGCGCGGTTTCGGTTACGAAGTGTAAATAATAAAATGTCTCAGCGGATTATCATGTTGCATGGATTATGCGAGTGAAGCGTTTATTTTACCCGTCATTTTCGCACGCTATTATTGAGGGCGTTATTGTCAGCGCCATAGAACAAATAGATGTCGGAACAAGCGCGCGCATTGTCACGGTCACCGAGCGCTTAGGCAGGGCCCTGCTACGTTAAGGCCCAGCAACCTGGGCCCACTGATGTGATTGGGATTTGCGTCCAGTTTCTATCGCTATTCGAACTGTGGGTCACAGAGCGTGCATGAGGTAGATGTACAAATATATCATGTCTCAGTATTTGGCCTGGCTTTCGCCAATTATTACGTCCACGACCGAAATGCGCTCCGTTACGCGCCCGCCGTATGCATATCCGGCTGCCAGAGCAGCCAACCCGAAATATCACCCTGCCGCGCTCTGAGACTGTTCCTCGGCGACAGGTTTGGAGGCAGATGTAGCCGATTTAAGTCATTCAGGATCGACATTGGCCAGCGCACCAGATATTTGTCAGACGAGAACACAGAGTGTCGCCAAAGGTCCACGGCGCGGCAAGCGACTTAATCAGCGGAGGTCGCCACGCCCTCTCCCGGCAATGATCTTGTTTGTGGTGATTGCTTGCTGGCGAAGGTAGGTCGATCAGGCTCGTCTCCTTTGAACGGAATGGGAGCGAGTCTGACCTCTCGCAGCAACGACTTTGTTCACGCTATCAAAGCTGCAGGGCTCGAGAGGATTTTGAGACCTGACTTCAGATGCCGTGCTTCGTCGGGGGCTAAAGCACGTCGGTGTGCATTGAGTAACAGAGGGCTGGTGCTGGTTAAATTTTCTCGCTATCTTTCTCGCTATTTTCTCACTATAGAATGTTGTCAGACCTTTACACAAGTGCTGCATATCTAACCCGTGCGTTTCAGTCCAGGTAATCATGACTAAACTGGCCCCGTATTATTGTTCGCGACTTTGCATCTTATGTTGTGCTGCGTGTGTCCCATACCTCGATAGCTTTTCGTTCTCGGTCGAGCGTTATCCTCGCGTTTGCCATTTGCTAACGCCTGTTACGCGCCCGGACGCCGCAAGGCTTCCTGGAGCCTGCGTCGGGGTGCGTTCGTGCAAAGCTGCCCAGTGGCCCGCGCGCGGACCTGATCGATTTCACGCCCTTCCCGCCAGCACCAGATCAATTACGATACAAACCCAGCGGGGCAACACCGCATAGCCCAGTGCGAGAAAGCACAGCTCTCCTGCTGGTCTTCCGCTATAGGCCAAGTATCGATGAGTTGAACCAACGGGTCATTCGGTGCCTTGCCTGACCTCACGTCCTTGAACAACCGACTTCTCTGCGCGCTGGCTGACCGGCGGAGGACTCTGCGCTGGAACAGCGCTCCGGTTCATCCCATCGCTCCACCGCGTCACACGCGCGTAACAACGGCCCATCCCATCGCTCCACTGTGCCACACGCGCCGAGCAATGCCGTACGGCTCGCGCGACAGGTAGACGAGGCATTCGTGATTAATTCGCAAATAACAGCTCTGTCGCGGCGGATCGCCGCCGTCCGGTGCCCCGCCATATAAATATTTGACTAGCGACGCTTTTTGTCCGCTCTTCAGTGTCAAAAAACCGGCCACAAATACCATAATGGGGTGCACGCTAGCCGATGCGGCGGCCGTGCGCCGCTGCCAAAACCGAATTAGAATTATTGAATATGAATAGATTAGCGGCGCGTGGGCGGTCGCGTTAGGGCCGTGTGACAGGCGTGATTAGCTAGGGGAGCCGCGCGGGGGAGGGGGGCACGGTGGCAGCTCGAGACCGGACTCGACCGGACCTGACCACCAGACCGCACCGGCCGGACCAGACCTCTGGCGTGACCCAGCCGGCTAACCGGAGGCCAGACGCGCGGCCAGGCCGCCGGCCGGCCGGGTGAGCGGGGGCGCGCTCCCACGCGTCTGGTGCCACTACCGACGCCGGTCCGGCGCCGCTCGGCCCCGCTGACAACTATAACCTGGCTTTCTCAGTCTGTCGCTCCTGGACTCTTCCGGATAGCAGAAATAAATAGCAGGCTTCGAAAAAACTCACCGTGCGAAGGCCGATGAAATGACAAAATGCGGCTGAATTGAATGTTCTGGAAGTACTGCTACTGTTGGTTTTCGTTTTGTCAAGTTTTGCGATTGAGATATTGGGTCACATTTCGTTATACCGCACAAGACGTCACACTCGAACAGATCCTGGCCAAGCGTACGGTCGCCCGGCCGTCGAGCTCAGCATTCATCGGTGAACGATGCCTGCCCTGCCGCTGCCTCCGGATGTCACCACTGATTGTTTTGGCCGAAATATGCCCCGATCTTAGTGCTTTCAGGCTCGTGAGCTACAGCGTTCCAGGCCTTCATAGGGACGTGGTTACGAATGCCTGGCTTTGTTCTACAGCCTGTCTTTCTCAGCTCAAAACTCCATATGGAACTGAAACATTCCCCTCGAGAGACGGCCTTACGACTGCGCGCAGATGTGGCCTGCCAGCGGTGTACCGCAGCGTTCATGCGTCGCTTCGAGGATGCTGGTCGGCGGGCGGATGTAACCCGTGTTAACTAGCAGAATGCCTGGGAGGCAGCTGTAAATTAATCACAAATCGGCAGCGCCGGATCACGCGATGTTTTGGCCTCCAGCAATCTTTGAGAAGGCCGCGAACTGGCTATCATGAGTGAGCCTGGCGCGAGCCTTGATGCCTGGCGGCTCGGCTGCTGTTTTTTGGTTTGGTTCTGCTAGTCTGAGATGTGGAAATAACTGTGGACTAGCAATGTAGCCATGGTTTTCGCATAACTGACCGACGAGCGTACGAACGATTTCGGCAAGCTGGCGATGCCCAGGTCATATCTTGTATGCGTGACACACGGTCAAGACCCGGGTTGCGTGTTATTGTAAAGCTCCGATTTATATGATAGATTTGTGTCAAGAAACAGGCCCACGATCTGCAAGACTCATTTTATAAATATATGCTGTCCATCTAACTCCTACACGGCAGCATCAAACTCCCAAATCGCGACACCCTCGAATTATCGCGACAACGATCAGCTTCCCAAACCAAAAGCCCCTTCATGCATGTGCACCTCCCACCACGCCTGTTACGCCTGGCCCGACCTGCCGTCCTCTGTCCCTGCCATGGCCTGGCCGGCGCCCGTGACCCGGGCAGGACGCGTCCCCGGCAGGCCGACGCGGTAATGTGCGGTTGACTGTGAACTATTCCCGGGCGGGCGGCGGGGCGGCCCGGCGCCACTGCGCGCCGGCACCTTCTGAAGGTCTGAGTACAAGGCAGCGCACGGGCCCGTCGCCCGTGGCGGCGCCGGCCGACTGTAATGACCGGCTGTGACCGGCAACCCTTTGGTAAGGCCACCGGCGTCAAGACGCGCCCGACCGATTTTTGCCACGGTAACGGCGACGCGGCGTCATGGAAGAGATGAGAGGGCGCAAGAGCTGCTATTGATTGGATAATTGCAAGGGTAGGTGTCGTAATTAGCGAGCGCTTGTCTGATACCAGCCCGGCATAGCATCAGACGTCGGTGATAGGCGCTCCGATGGAGGAAGCCCGCAGCGTTGGAGAGAAGTCATAAACGAAGTCGCTCTGATTGAGGAAGTCCGCAGCGTTGGAGAGAAGTCATAAACGAAGTCGCTCTGATGGAGGAAGCCCGCAGCGTTGGAGAGAAGTCATAAGCGAAGTCGCTCTAATGAAGAAATGGAGGAAGCTCGCAATTTTCGAAATATGTCATAAGTGAAGGCGCTCTGATGGAGGAAGGTCGCAGTTTTAAAGAGAAGTCATAACCGAAGTCGCTCTGATGACGGAAGCTCGCAGTTTTGGAGAGAAGTCATAAGTGAAGTCGCTCTGGTGGCGGAAGCCGCAGTTTTGGAGAGAAGTCATAAGTGAAGTCGAAGTCACTCTGATGGAGGAAGCCCGCAGTCTTGGAGAGAAGTCATAAGCGGTCGCTATGCGACGATCAGAACCTTGTCAACGGAGTTCGTGTCGTTTGTAGGATGCTTGTTTTGACGTCAGTAATGACAGTTTAGTATCATGCTGTGTGTGGTTAAACGAACTGAAAATAACTGCCTGGGTGCACAGTAGGGTAGTTTCGTTATTCTTATGCACACAATGATCGTTTCGATGTTGTTGATTTGTTTCAATACCTAAGCAAAATGCGTCACACACGCTGTGCTTCCAGGACCGAGGGCTGAAGAACGTCACAACAAGCAGGCAAGGTAGTACTGACCTGACGCCTTACAGGTAAACCATATTCGTCTGAAGCCTGTCACATTTCCCCTGCCGCTAACGGACTATAACGCTCCCGTTTGAGAATTTTGCAGTCGACACATGAACACAATATAAATACAAACCGATAGCCAGGAAGACAAAAAATCCGCATAAAACAAAGAAAAGGCATTGTTCAATGCTGCACCCTAAATGCATGGCACGAATCACCTCGTATGGATGAGTTGAAAATGGAACATTTCCGTTGAAAAAACACGTTTGCGACTCACCGTCACACCTTATGAGTGGTCATTGGCCAACCCTTCCTGTTCCAAAACGACCCGTCCACCACAGAGCGTGTATTTAGAGCTGTTAGCGGCCGGTACCGGCGTCCGGGCCATCTGTGAGGCAGCGGTCGTCCCATTGTCGAGGCGGAGGTGACCCGGGCGATGAGGAGGGGTGCCCCGCCCCCGGCCCTGTCACCTGGCCGGTGACATCTGTCGAACCGGTGGCGGCGGCGACCGGGTCTTCCCCGCCGGCCCCTCCCCCTGACCGAAGTGTCTCCCCTCCCCAGCTGCCCAGCTGGAGCGGACGGCCCCCGCCCCTGGCCTCCGGCCAGGTCCGGGCCCGACCCCTCCGGGCAGGTCCGGGCCCGACCCCTCCGGGCAGGTCCAGGCCCGACCCCTCTGGGCAGGCCCAGGTCCGACTTCCTCCGGGCAGGCCCAGGTCCGACCGCTCCGGGACTCGGCCACCCCCCGCAGCCTCTTGCTCATCCGTGAGGTCGACCTGGTCAGCCAAAGACACGTGCTGTGTGACGATAATTTATGGTAACATGCGTCATTTTCTTATCATATTTGTGATAAGGCATGTGCAAACAACGTTGCATGTTTTCAATAATCCGTGATCTCCTTACAAATGAGGCAATTCAGGCTAGCACATTGCGCGTTTATTTTTTCCGTGTAACAATGGCGGTCACACTTGGCCGCAGCCCAAACCCGTGGGATCGAGCTGCGAAAAGTGCAGCGGTGTGCGACAGGCGAACCTGGAGCTGAGCTCTAAGCCGCGGCACTCACCACAGCCGATCCCGTCTGCTTTGCCCCCCAACAGGCAACACACGCGGAAGTTCAGGGACCGGCAGAGCTCCGTCCCAGTGGAGGCGCCGAGGCCACCGGCAAGCAGGCGGGGACAACGCCGGCAGGCAGGCATCCGGCTGGCCAGCACTGTTCAGCACCGCTCTCG